TATTCTGGGTAAAGCGAACAGTGTATTTCTGTTTCCTTTTGACATCTGTAATAATAGATATAAATGCATGCATTAATTCTTCATACGGTCATAAATGAAGAAGCACTAGAAAAAAATGTTGAAGAACAACAAAGCAATTTCTTGAACCCACTGTTTGCTGGCTACCACAAACACAGTAGCAAGAGAATGTGAGGAAGAAGATGGAATATTTTGAGCATTAACAAGCACTTAGCCATTCATCCTTTTAAAGGAAAGCCTCATGTAAGGTTGTACAAAAGATCTTTAGAGATAAGAGACCTTCTTTTGTATCCGTAAAGTAAGGGACAACTAAAAGAAACAAATCTCACATTTATGAATGCATTAGATAGAGGCAATGGCCACTCACGTCATACCTGTGAACAGGCTTAGCTGTCAGGTTTGGAAAAAGTTAAATGAAATACATGCATTTTTGACAATGATCAAACAACTAGGTGTTATAATAAACCATAAAGACAAGTGACTTGCAACCGGAGTGGGATGGAGCTTGTTAGGGTGAGCTGCCCACCGCACTCCACAACATGAGCCACTACAGAGTACAAATAGCTGGATAAAAAACCAAGATAATTTTTTGCAAAATAAGTGAAACATTCAGGTCATGGGTACAGAAGGACTTGGAATGTTGGCAAAACTAAGGGGTAAAAAGAAAAAAAGGCAAAATACTGTGGCACTTTAAAAGCCAACATATTTATTTCAGTGTGAGCATTTATGGATCAAAATCCATTTCTTCAGACACTAGGAGTGCAAGTAACATCTTCTCTTATACATACAGTGGTGCCTCGCTTAACAAGCACCCCATTTAATGAAGAATCTGCAAAGCGATTTGTTTTTTGCGATTGCAAAAGCGATTGCATTGCGATCTTTTTAATGGCAAAAAAATCGCTTTGCGATGGCCAGTAAGCTGTTTCGCTTACCGATTTTCGCATAGCGATGTTTTAAAAACAGCTGATCAGCGGTTCCAAAATGGCCACGAGAAAAAATGGCCGCCCGCAGTGTTTTCGCGCCCATTCCTCGTATACTGGGCAGTGAAAATGGTGGCCGTATGGAGGATTTTCGCATGACGGTGAGTTTTAAGCCCATAGGAATGCATTAAACCTCATTTCGTTGCACCCACTTGTGAGTGCAATGACAAATAAATTTCTTATGTCTTAAACGTTTCCGGAACGGATTATCGTCGCTATGCGGGGCACTACTGTACTTATACATACTGCCAGGGGTATGAAGTTTGAAAAGCCCGTTATAAAAGGGTCACAGTAGTCATCAAAGAGAATCTATATTCCTTGCAATAAGTATGTTTCTTCTCCCACAACCCATTTTCCTTGGAAATATGTTTCTTTGCAACCTCAGTTGCAAATTATGTTTGACCCAGACTGCCCCACTATTAGAACAGAATGGTCAAAATCTTATTGCTTTGTATTACTACACTAAGCAACAGGATTCTGGCCAATATTACACAAAACAAGTTGTAAAGAAGGAACAGTAAAAGGAATAAAAAAAAAAGAGTCAGGAAATGTTAAACCCTACTTGGCCTCACAGATGTACTTCCAGTGTTCATCCATGTAATGAGAGACTAGGGAGGTGAGATCCAAACCAAAGGCAATCACCAAATAGCGATGACAGCGATTTAGTGATGATAGAGATTCAGAAATCAATCCATGCTCTTTTGAATGAGGAAACAGCTTCTGCCAGAACACTATCATTTTAAAATCTGTTATTTTACCAAAGCTGTTATTTTGGAGAGTTTAGGTCACATTTAAACAGCTCCAAGAAAAAACAATTCCCCAAAAGAAGGTTGGCTTATTCTTATATTATATATTATAGATGGGCAGGTTTCTCCTCAATTCTTTTTTGTTAAGTCTTCTGCAACAGAATCCAATGTTATGCCTCACTTGTCTTCCAATCTTCTTTGATAATGTCTGTTATTAATTTAAGAACTGGCTTGCATGCAGTTCCCTTCTATTTATTCCCTTCACTGTCTCCTTGCAGGTAAGATGTGTGCATGGCCGTCTGTGCACATTAAAAACATCTCTTTTTATGTAATGGAAAGCACAGTAATTTAATTTAAGTTCCTTTACCGCCCTTAAGAATCCCCAGATGAGAAATGCAGCGGGGGAGAAACAGATTGCCTCAAAGCAACATAATTAACTCTGAGAAAAGGCCAGGCCAGTTTCGTAGTTTCACTCTGAGGTAGATAAAGAGATCCACATCTTGATTACATATCCAAGTGTGGTTGCACACTTTAAAACCCTGAACAATATCTGTCTGTCAATTTCAGTTAAATACGACTGCTAGACTTCTGCTGGTATTCCTGTAGGGCTCGTATAACTTGCTGTGACAAACTGCAGCTAATTGACAAGGTGACAGGGGGTGCCCTGATTCTAGTTCTTGCCTAACTATACAATCAAGATGCACTTCAACACCTCATCAATTACTTGCAATTGGCTGGGGTAAGTTACGCAAACCATATGCCAACACTCGTAGGCTGCTAGCCACTATGTGACTGTAAGGAACAATGAATCATGGAGATCACTGCATGAGCAAACAGAAAGAGGGGGATTGCTTAGCACAGTTATCATTTGTGTCCAGGTAGAGTCCTCCTGACCAGTGGGTTTCTTTTCAAAAGTTAACAGACCTGAAAATCACACTGGATAGCCTTGGCCACCATAGTGCAGCAGAATAATGAAGGTTTTTTCAAAATATAACTCCTCTTGGATGCACTCAGCTTAGATACTCATCTCCTTATTTGAAGCAGTGAGAACCTATGTAATCAGACTGGCCACTTCTGTACAGTAATTAATTTTACCACTTCTCCTGCATGATCTGTTTTGGCTGATATGAATGTGTCAGCTTGAAATTGTGGGAGCTTGAACACAACTTCTGCTTTTTAAAAAAGTACAATGAAAAGCAGTATTTTAATATGCATGTCCACCCTTTCCTCCAACAAGCCCAAGATGACTATCAACAAAGATCAAAATCACAAAGCATGAGTGGGGAACACATGGTCTTCCAGATATTGTCAGACTGCAACTTCCATTGTCCATAGCCTGCACAGTCAATAGTGAGGTAGGAAAGCAATTACAGGTGTAGTTGTTTTGTCTTACAGTATATACTACCTCATAGTACTAAAGCTCTCTCTGGGTGGTTTACAACATAATTATGCAAACAACAACTTGATGAGTAGAGGTTTGACTGTAATACTGCAGTTTAACCATTGTGCTGCTTTGTCTGGTGAACCACATATCGCTATGTGACAGATCTTCTGTGAAAATGAGACAGGAGGCTCATGTATAGCATGTGAAAGCTCCTATTAAATCCTTTGTGAACACACGTGGTTGCAACTTTAAACACTTCAGTGCAAACATCTAAAAATCTCTGACTATACAATGGCTAAACAAGAAAGGTGAATCAAATCTAAGCTACAGCTAGAGCCTGTCTGATGCTACACTGCCATTAACCTGCAGTATTTTAAATAAGCATCCCACCAGATCGGTATCCTTCAGTTCGGTGGAAATAGAATTCCCATCTCCCCCAGACATGCTGGCAGGGAAAAATGGAAACCGCACTCTCAACATAGGTTGGGGAAAGGCTGTGGTTGACATTTTAAAGGAGAGTTTCAGGAGTTTAAAAGTTTGAAAAGTTCAATTGGAATTTTTGTTGGAGTTTTGTTTGCAACCTCACATGCTGTCCATGGTTTGTTTGACTTGGAGGACTTTTGTGGGCTGGAGTGATTTTTCTTACCAATTCTTCCTTCTAGCCTTTGAATTCAACGAAAGCCCTGCCTCTCTACTGCATGTCCTTTCCCTCTCTTCCATCTGTTGGAGTCAGTTGTTTGTTTGCTGTTGATATGTTCAGTCAGTTGCTAAGTATATCTGAAGCAAAGAAAGCAGCATGCACAAGTCTCAAGCAACTGTACATAAAGAAATGTTTTTTATTCTTTTTTCTTACAAGTGTCTTGGAGTGAGTTATTGAGACTGTACGTGCCAGCTAATGAGAAAGGACTGGACTTTGGGGAACTTTAGCTTGTGATTCAGTGGTCAAACTGCTGTACTGCAGCCAAAACTGTGCTCATGGCCCAGGGTTCTGTCCCCGGTAGCCAGCTCAAGGTTGACTCAGCCTTCTATCCTTCGGAGGCTGGTAAAATGAGTACCCATCTTGCTGGGGGGAGAGCAATGTGTAGCCTGCATAATTAACCTGTAAACCACCCAGAGAGTGCTTTAAGAGCTATGTGGAGGTATATAAGCAGCACACTTTTTTTGTTTTTGCTTTATTCTCCTCTGTGCATCTCTGTACTTCTGCTGCATAGCAAAAAGGAAGTTTACCAGATATTCAAAACTTTGCAACAGTTTTAAGCAAATAATTTAACAGGAAAGGTAGCAAATATAATGTAGTGCCTGAAAATGTTAACTGTCTGTACTAAAGTTAGAAACAACATGCCGTCTCATCTCAAAAAGATTAGTGCAGTGTGGATTTTATTTTTGCATTTTTTAAAATGTTGCAGGCCACATGGAGAGGAATTATTTATATCATAGAACCTTGAACAATACACTCCTTTTGTAGATTCACAAAAGCTGCATGCGCACAACTAGGACCAATCCACTTTGGAGATGTTCCATAAACAGAAATCTACCCTATAACCCCAGGCTCATCCAGGCCTTCCCGAAACTACCCCTTCACATTCAACCACCCGTATCCCCAAATATGTCCCTCCATTGTTGCATTTCTTTTCCTATGAAGAAATGATCTCTGAGTCACTGACATCATTTGTAATCAGCCCAAACAAAACAGCATGTCAGCAGTTAGCAAGGGGAGTTAAATTTATCTCTTTTTCAGTATATACATCAAAAGTATAAGCAGCAGCAACAAACTGAAAATAAAAGCTTGCCCACATGTATCCATAATAAAACACAGCATGGATAAATACTCCGTGATCATCTATAAATGAACACTTCATTCGTGTTGCCTACCTGTGACTTTTCCCAAGGTCAGAGACCTGATGGCTCTGAAGTCAACCTCAGAGGAAAAGTTGTGCTTGACTTTGAGAACCTGGTCAATCTGGAAAGGGAGAGGAAGATGGTGAATGAAAGTAATTGCATCATTAGAGCATGCAGAGAGCACCCCGATGTATATATTCTGTGAGCCTTGCTGTCAGGGCAGAAGTAATACTCCCTGCTGGGAATCTGTGTCCACAGCCAGCAAAATAAATGCACTTTAATTCCACAGGGAAAGCTAGACGGCTTGGCAAAATGTCTGTAAAGCAGGATTTTCAAGAAACTTCCATCTCAGAAAAAAAGAGTGTATCTCTAAGTGTTTTGATCGCAACAGAGAAATCACAGTGATTCATCTTTAACTTCATTGAACAAGAGAAGAGATTAACTCTGGCTGGATGTGTCCAATCCAGGGTCAGCCCTCTGCTGGGAGACATATGTGAGATGACAGTAAGATTGGCAGGTGACAGTCATGTGAAAAAGAAAGTATATCATCTTTGAATCCTATGGTTTTACATATCAGAACATAATAAAAATCATCTGGTCCTTAGCCGGTCTGAAAATTAGGTAAATACAAACTCAAATGAACAACAACAAATGACATATTACACCATGCTATTATTTATTTTACAAAAATAATTCATATGACTGTTTAGTGGCAGCACAAAGTACACTTCCTGTCTGGAAGTTCCACAGGCAGCTAATACATCCAGTATGTCTTGAGAACCTTGTAAAGGTATAGTTATCTTAAGGAACGCCTCCTCCCAACAAGGTCTACCCGTTGTAAAGGTATAGTTATCTTAATATTCTGGTCTTGCCTTGCATTTCAATGGTGACTATTGCTTTTGTACATTAGAGTCTCTTCAAAATATTATTTTTGGTTATTATACATAGTAAAACTGGATTATTTTCACGTGGAATTTTGCTGAGCAAAACTTTCCAAAAAGTTGCTGAGACATTAAGAGCAGCTAAGTAGTTCATGAAGCTTTTCTCTAAACTGGTAACTGTCATTATTATGATTTATTTGGCAGAGACACCACTAGGAAGTTGCTTATATGCTGTCTCATGACTGAATTTAGTCTGGCCTCTTAAACTCTGTGATATTGTTGTTTGTTTCTTCAAAAGCTGGGATGTGAATTCGGAATCAGAAATATTCAGAATTCACTGAATAATGCCTCATTCTGAAATTTCTGAATATATCCAAATCTGATAGTTCCAAATACCTGCAATAATAATTCTTAATATTCAGAGTCCCATTTACTCCGATAGATCAGAAAGCAAAAGGCTAAGTTTTTGCTTGCTAGAAGAAGTGGAAGTGAAAATAAAACTTATTTCTCAGACTTCCTGGACTGATTTCTTGAGAAATGAAATTTGAAGACAAGTGTGACACCAAGAGTACTGGGGACAGAAAACTCAGTGTCTCCTGATTAAGGTTGCTGTAGGTTTCCAAAAGGAGGGAGGCTGGGGTGAGAGCAAAACCTGTAAACTGTGTCTGTCTACACCAATGTACTCAAGAATGAAGCAGGCACAGACACCAGAAGGTATTTCTTCACATTGGTTGTTTCCAGTTGAAAGATGGATATAACTGCTAATAAATCCCCTGAGCATAGAATCAGAGAATAATGAAGTCAGAAGGGGGCTATAAGGCCATAGAGTCAAACCCCCTGCTCAGTGCAGGAATATGAATCAAAGGACATCTGCCAGGTGGTTGTCTACATTTCTCCTAAATGTCTCCAATGTTGGAGCACTTACCATCTCCTGGGGTAATTGGTTCCATTCCCGCACTGCTCTAACAGGAAGTTTTTCCTGATATTCAACTGAAATCTGGCTTCCTTTGCTGTTAGGATAGGCTCTGGTGCAAGTTTGCACTGCAGCAGTTTTCTGTTTTCCTTTTTTCAACTCTCAGCTTACATTTACATTCTCTACATCTCTTTATGTCTCTCTGTAGTGTGTGTGTGTGTGTGTGTGTGTGTGTGTGTCAGTGTGATTTTCATTGGGTTTGTTTTCTGCTGTAGTAGAGTCGGATGCTGTTTTTCTTTGGGAAGAGTCTTTGGGTAGTATGGAAGGTGGGTGTGGTAGAAGAAGTAGGCACTTGGGGAAGGCTGCAGGAATGCTGCCTGCATCCACTGCAGCACCTTCTACTGAGAGGAGTGGGAAAGGGAGAGGAACAAGCCAGTCTACAACTGCAGAGATGGGGACTCATGAGTCATGATTTGCTGTTGAATCAAACTTAAGTCACACAGGCAATTTGACTTGGACTCGGTTTTGGGGGGACTCATGACTCAACTCACAACTCAGACCCATTTGTCTGAGTCGTGTTGTCAAGTCCCTATGGACCTACTTGCTACCACTGTTACCTCCTGCTGCCATCTTCAGAGGCAGGAAGCCTGGTTTCCCTTCTAGGAGTCTGCTGTTGCCTCCGCCCGTGCATGCACCAGCCAGCTGACTCCTAGAAGGGAAATTGGCTTCTGCCTTTGCACATTTTAAATATAAACATTTAAGTTTGTACGTTTATATATATCTTCATCCCTCAAACAGATTCAGAAAAACCTTAATTGAAATGCTATTAGTTCTTATTATCTATTTACACAAACACACACCTGTACCTTAATTCAAGTCACACACTAGTCTTGGTATATATTCTCACCACTTCAATTGAAGTCTGACTTTCAGTAGTATGAGGCTAGGAAAGGAAACTAAATGGAGCTTATGTGTACTACACTGGACACTAGTCTTGGCATATATTCTCACCACTTCAATTGAAGTCTGACTTTCAGTAGTATGAGGCTAGGAAAGGAAACTAAATGGAACTTATGTGTACTACACTGGGTTCCATGGGGAAAAAAACAGGATGTAAATGAATGAATGAGGAGTGAAAAAAGAATGAAAATTAAACAAAATTATGGGAATTGAAGAAAAAGACAAGACAAGACAATCCTTCTCCTTCACTCTGCAAGTTCAGTGGAATCTGCGGACATGATGGAGGACAGTAGAAGATGGTGGGAACAAGGTACCTGAATAGTCAGCTCTCTTCCATCCCTGGTGATCTTCACCTGGTGGAGCTCCTGGTTAGCAAAATTTCCAGAATCGATAGTGAAAATAAGGGATCTCTCCTTGCTCAGTCTGTATCGGACTTGCAAGCTTCCTTGAAGTAATAATAAAAAAGAAAAACCAGAAGAAGGGAGAGGGGGAGGAAATTTGATCTTTGAAATATTTTGACCTAGAACTCTTATTTTATTTATTTATTCACTTAAAATAGTTTTACCCTGCCTTTTGCCTTTTAAAGGACCCAAGACAGCTTACATAATTGAAAAGACAATATTTAGAAGCAAAAATAGTACACAAATATTTTAAAAGAATTAAACAACTACTGCATATTAAAAATGGCACATAAAATCAATACTGAAAATATGTTTAAAAGCAGAACAGAACAACAATCCATTAAAAAAAGCTTCTCGGATGTGAATCACTAAGGGAAAGCCTGCCTGAGGAAGACTTTTTTTTTCCCTTGTGGAAGGACAGCAAAGATGGGACCAAACTGGGAGGGAGTTCCAGAGTCTTACAGATTAATCTATGCAATGCATTAGCATATAAATTCACTACAATGGAAGAGGACATACAAGCAATATGAGCCAAGTGAGTGTAGGACCTGGCATACATTTGGTAAATTAAAATCAAGTTAAATTGCTCCAGTGAACCATGACTACTCAAGCACACCACCCAAATTACAGATAGAGATTAAAGCCTTCTGTAAAATTAATCTGCTACATTAGAGGAAAAATAGTTGAAGATCCAAATGCAGTAATAAACACCTGAATTCTGTATAATCACTCATGTGCAAAGAATTCACACAACACATCTTTAGAAATCATTATTTTTCTACAAACATCTTTACAAATGAGTCATGGTTGGTTAGACTGATTGTATTAGGTGTTTGGAAAAAAACTGAAACAATTCCTTTGATCATCCCTGCCTACATATGCCTACTGTTAAAAAAATTGAGCAATTTCCTGAGGAGAATAATCTGGAAATCAGAAGAAATATAAGTGACTGCAATGGATATGTTACATTTCATCCTGAAAGATTTGAATTTTCTTTAATTTTTACATAAAGAAGCTTTCAGACATGATCTGTCATTTACAGAATGACGTGCTATGAACCCATTGCCATGTGATCTTGTGAACAAGTAGTCTCAACCTAAAACAGGCAACATATGATGAGCCAGCATTTTAATTAAATAATATTCTTTAGCTGGCCATATGAGCAGCAGGATTTATTAATATTAATGTTTTAATTATTCTTTCTAATATAGGTGTGAGGGTTCAATAGTTACCTCAGGCTTATCGGACACAAACACGGGATGCTCGGTTTTTTGAAAAACAGAACTAGGATTTATTGGAACATCAAATAAAGAAGTGTCAACATTAAACTTGTCATTGTTCTTTTCTCTCGTCGCCAACGGGTCAAATGAGGGTGTCCATACTTCTTGTAAAAAGGGATTGTAACTTGGATCATACCAGGTCTTTTGGGAAATGGGTTAGTCTCACCTGGTTCCTTAGCTTCACTGTCCACATCTATCAGGGGTAAGGTCTCCTCATCTCTCCTCTCCAGGTCATAGGGCTCAACACCCTCCGCATAGGGGTCCCAGGGTCCAGTAAATACCTCCTCCGGCGAGCCTCCTCCAGACGCCATGTTTTCCTTTCCCTCTCTTCCCTCTCTACCGCCTCCTTTTCCTCTCTCAACCTTCTCCGCCACTCTCTAGCTTCTGATTCTTCCCAACAGGATGGTTTGGGGGGGGGTAAACCTCTTCATCGAGGCACCCTCACTTTCTCACATCTCCCCATCCAGGGATCCTCCACCCATATCAATTCCCAACTCTCCAGTATGTTGTCTTGCTCTACCTTTATATCCCCATGTCCCGCCTCTACCAATGGTTGCTCTCCTATCCTTGTTCCCACCTTTTCTATCCCTGTCTGGGTAGCCATTGACAGTCTCCTCACACCCTGTTCCAAATCACAGGTGTCTATACCCTGATGTCTGACTGCGACGCGAGTAGCCGTAGATTCCGTTTGAGTCTCGTTCTCTCTTAAAAGGAGGATGACACTCCAGCGAGCGCTTCTATAGCCTCGCCTCGGGTCTCACAATAGGATATTATAATATTCCCTATTTTTAGTGGTTTTAATGTTTTTAAATTTTTAATATTGTTGTACTCCACACAGAGACCACTGGTAATGGTGCGGCTAAAAATCTTGTAAATAAATAAATAAAATAAAATAAGGGATTCATTTCAGAGTTATGAAGCTGATACACATAGGTAAAGTCAGAGCATGGCATTGATTTTTTTGTTTAGCTTGTACATGTGATAAGCTTCAGTTTATCACATGTATCCTTTTCTACACCTAAGAGGAAGAACACAGATAGCATTGCTATGACAGTTGCATCATTTGATTAGTTCTAGTTGGTGCATTCAAGTCAACAAACTAACAAAAAAAAACCCTCAGCCCTTTAAAAGTAGCGAAGTTTTCTTCTGTGTTAAAATGTACAAGATCACAGTGTTTATTGACTAATGAAATTGATTGAAGATTTGCACTACGGAAATTCTGGGACCTTCAAAGCCTTGCCTAAGGCCTGTTTCCCACCTAGATTGCACATGTCATAAAGAGTTGCATTCCCATTTAGCAAAGCCCTTTTGGCTGTTTTAGAGCAAGTGAATATAGCATGTGCTTGGGGGGAAAATCCTTCCAAAAACTAAATTGTTTCACTGAAATCAGTGACAGAAAGAGAAATGCATGCAAAAGGACTCTTTTGTGTATACTTGAATTTAGATTTTCTACTTGATCGGCATTCTATGCGACATTATGCTCCCAATAATAGTATTGCTACAAGCCATTTTATTTTAATTTCTGCATCATTTCTGTCCTATAACAGCAATTAACACAATCATCAGATTATGGCTCTGGGAGTGTGATTGCAGTCATGGGTTGCTTTGTCATCTTGTCTTTTGGTGCTGTAAATCTCAGTGCAGACACAAGATGCAGAAAACTATTGAAGCCACATCTTGCTGCCAAGTTATAAGCCAGCCAATTTCAGAGAATTGCTACCAGCTTATTTTGCAGCTCTTCTAATTAAATATGAAATCAAGAAATCGATTCCACAATCATCAAGTCAGGGTTGGGCCACTGGCAGCGTGCCAACCCACTGATCATGGCTGGCAAAGCTGTTTTATCTGTCTCTTGGGAAGCTCTGCTAATTGTTTAAATAAAGGTAAGGGAAATGTTTTTTTTCTACGGAAGAGAGAAATGTGTTTACAATGTTAAGGAATTGAAATCCTTCATAGTTCAATATTCCGTCACTTTGGAGGACTGGTATAGCCATGTCAGTACAATACTTGCCCAAAGAAAACATTTTAATGTTATTCTGTGGCTTCCTTTTGTGTGTTTCAGAAAAGGAACCAATTTGCAACATCTGGTGATTTCTTTCCAGTTACTTTCAAGCTCTGTTTGCTTCTTTATTTTTTTAATATTTTTACCCCACCTTTCTCCTTAAAAGTACCAAAGTGGCTTACAACAATTAAAAGACAATATTTAAAGCTAAAAACAGTAAGTATATAAATATTTTAAAAATAATTAAACAAGTATTATAGTAAAAAGGTCAATAAAATTAATACTAAAAACAATAGAGCACAACAATCCATTTAAAAAAAAAAACCTTCTCAGATAGCCAGTTGCTAAAGAAGTGCCTCCCTGAAGTGGAAGGTCTTTTCCTGCTTGTTGAAGGACAACACACATGGAGCCAGCCTGGCCTCCTGTGGGAGGGAGTTCCAAAGTCTGGAAGCAACAATAGAGAAGGCCCTGTGTCCCCACCACGCGTGCCTATGAGGGTGGTGGGACCGAGAGAAAGGCCTTTCCTGATGATCTTAATTCCCAGGTAGAGGAAGATGGAGTCTTTAAGATAATTCTTAGTGGCGCTGCGGGTTAAATCACAGAAGCCTCTGTGCTGCAAGGTCAGAAGACCAGCAGTCGTAAGATCAAATCCATGTGATGGCGTGAGCTCCCGTCGCTTGTCCCAGCTCCTGCCAACCTAGCAGGTTTCAAGCATGTAAAAAATGCAAGTAGATAAATAGGTACCACCTCGGTGGGAAGGTAATGGCGTTCCATGTCTGGTCATGCTGGCCACGTGACTATGGAAGCTGTATTCGGACAGACACTGGCTCTATGGCTTGGAAACGGGGATGAGCACTGCACCCTAGAGTTGGCCACAACTGGACTAAATGTCAAGGGGAACATTTACCTTTACCTAGATAGTTTTTAGAAATACTAAGCATTTCACAACCACTATATTCAGGCATTTTGTTAAAATTGATTCACTGTTAATTTTAATCACTTGAGGCATAGACATTTCTCTTTTGGTGCTCAGTGACTATATGAAGAGGCTACCGCTGTGATAATGAGCTCAAAGTCCTCTTCTGGTAAAAACTGGCAAGCACCATGGGAAGTCCTTATGCTCAACTGAACTATTTTACTCTTGTAGAAGAGAACTGGAAGCCTAAATTATGTGGGGCTTTTAACTGTGCCCATAAGTCCTTTGAAAGGAAGGTCAGCATTCTTGGACATGTCAGCTGGGGATGTGTAAGTAGGAGAAGATGTGTCATACCACACAGTCCATCCTAATGGGAAGACAGGCTGCAGGAAATGTAAATGGTTGGCTGAGGACAATTGCTCAGCTGGGTGATTTTCTTGTTCCCCTGAAGCAATCTTTACATTTCAGCCTAACTGGACATCCATCAGACACAAGATTATTCAACCTACTATTTCCTTCTTAACACCTCTTCACAGAACAAACACATGTATACTTAATAAACTGGCATCTAAAGAACTATTTGAGACATGGCCAAAGTCTCATTTTTCCTCTGTTCAGTAGCAGGAAAATAATTAGGACAATGCCCTCCTGCCTTGGTTTTATCACGAAGGGGTATTGAGCACCTCTTCCCCCCCCCCTTCATGATCACAGGAGAGCAGCCACATGACATGGCTGAAAGACATGCAAGGCAATACTATACATATTCACACAGTAGTTAAGATCTACTTAGATAATGTATTCTTAGGTATATGGGTCTTGCACCATGAATCTCACTTGGATTCTTGG